TCTCTGTCTCTCTCTCTGTCTCTCTCTGTCTCTCTCTCTCTGTCTCTCTCTCTGTGTGTCTCTGTCTCTCTCTCTGTCTCTCTCTGTCTCTCTCTCTCTGTCTCTCTCTCTGTGTGTCTCTGTCTCTCTCTCTGTCTCTCTCTCTGTCTCTCTCTGTCTCTCTCTCTGTCTCTCTCTCTGTCTCTCTCTCTCTGTCTCTCTCTCTCTCTCTCTCTCTCTCTCTGGAGGTGGCGGGTGGGGGTTTTGGTGTGTGGTCTTTCCATCATCTAGTGTCTCCTACAATTTCTTTAGTACCTTGTAGTTTTCATTAAGCCTAAGGTTTTCCCTCGTTTGTGAATGGGATTGTTTTCCTCAGCCAGTCTAATGTTGATGTGGAGAAAACCCATTGATGGGATGGGACTGGAAAGTGTACTGTGGTAACCCAGGCCCAGAAAGACAACAGTGACACTCTCTCATGTGGATCCTAGCTTTTAATTGTCTGTGGAGGTCAGGGACCAGGAAGGACCCATGGGAGGCTGGAGGGGGAAGAGGCCTTAATGGAGGGAGGGGAGAGTAGAATATGTGGTAGCAAAGAAGGGGTACAGGTTTAAGTAGGATGGGGGGAGAGAAGGAAAGAGAACTGGGTGTTAGATGGGTTCACCAAAACCAAGTGTATTAGTTACTTTTCTATTGCTGTGATAAAACACCATGTCCAAGGCAACTTATAGAAGGAAAAGTTTATTTGGTTTATGGTTCCAGAGGAATAAGGGTCCATGATGGTGGGGAGGCAAGGCAGGAGGAAGCCCAAGCAGGAAGCTGAGCGTTCACATCTTCAAACAGACACAGGAAACAGAGAGAGGAAGCTGGCAAGTGTATTAGTTACTTTTCTATTGCTGTGATAAAACACCATGTCCAAGGCAACTTATAGAAGGAAAAGTTTATTTGGTTTATGGTTCCAGAGGAATAAGGGTCCATGATGGTGGGGAGGCAAGGCAGGAGGAAGCCCAAGCAGGAAGCTGAGCGTTCACATCTTCAAACAGACACAGGAAACAGAGAGAGGAAGCTGGGAGTGGGGCCAGGCTATGAGCTCTCAAAGCCCCCCGTGACGTGCTTCCTCCAGCAAGGTCACACTTCGTAGGGATTCCATGACCTTCCCAAAACAGCACCATCCACTGACCAAGTGCTCAAACCAAACCACTGCATTTCTCTCCTAAGTCCCCATGGGCTCATGTCTGTATCATAATGCAAAATGCATTTAGTCCAAGTTCAAAAGTCCCCTTAGGCCGGGCATGGTGGCGCACGCCTTTAATCCCAGCACTCGGGAGGCAGAGGCAGGCAGATCTCTGTGAGTTCAAGGCCGGACCGGTCTACATAGTGAATTCCAGGACAGCTGGGGCTACAGGGAGACCCTGTCTCAAAAAGACCAAAAAAAAAAAAAAAAAAAAATCCCCGTAGACCTTCACTGTCTCAACACTGTTCAAAAGCCCAAATCCAAAGTCATTTCTGAGACTCAAGGCACCCTTAGCTGTAACCCCTGAAAAATAAAAACCCAAATTATGTATTTCTACCATACACTGTCACAGACTACATATTCCCATCCAAAAGGGAGGAATGGGGACATAGTGATGGAAGGCTGGACTAAAACAAGATGAAAAACCAACAGTGTCACTGCAAAAGCACAGCTCCCGCCTCAAAGGAGGCATGAGATCGTCTGTTATGTAGCCAGATATGAATGCCCATGGTCCGCGAGCACAGATCCCAGTTACCCCGAATTCTGTGTTCCAACGTGAAAGCAGTTTCATAAAGTTTTTAAAGTAACAGAACAAAGGAAAGTCATTAAGTCTAGACGCTTTTCAAATTCATTGGTGGGAACATTAAGTTGTAGCACAATCAGCAAAGGAGAAATCTCAGCTCTAGGCCTCAGATGTTATCTGATGATGCTCAGCCTCCCGGTTGGTGGAAGCTGGTGCTCTGCCAAGTTAATCCATTCCAGTAGGGTTTTAATCTACTAGTCAGAGGATGTTAAGGTCAGAAACAGAGGTTGGCAAGGAGTGGCTAATTAGGATGCTAAAATGCCCGAGGTAAATGGTAATTAGGCTTTGGACTTGCAACATTCCAAACTCTCCACGATCACTGAACTTCTAGTCAGTTGGTCAGCAGAATGTTGTTTTAAGATGCAGTTTTTCTGGGAACTTCCATTCACAGTTCCCCCTGTTGGACAAGCATCACATTTTGTGCATATAGGGCCATGTATTTATTCCCGAGTTATAGGGCCATGTATTTATTCCCGAGTTATAGGGCCATGTATTTATTCCCGAGTTATAGGGCCATGTATTTATTCCCGAGTTATAGGGCCATGTATTTATTCCCGAGTTATAGGGCCATGTATTTATTCCCGAGTTATAGGGCCATGTATTTATTCCCGAGCTGCTACGAAGGCTTCCTGGGATCTGATGGAAGGAGGCTGAACAGCAGGCAGGAAGAGCAGCCTTCAGGGGAGAGGAAGGGCTGATGAAGCTGGTAAGGAAGAAACTCCCGGATCACATCGAAGCTGTTAGTCGTCATGATCCACATCTGAGTTCTTCTTTTCCTTTGTCCCCTGTATCTGACAGAACATTTACTGTGACTTATGATACGATTATTACATTTAAAATTAAAATAATCAAGAACATTGCTTGATCTAATGGAGTAAAGGTAACAGATGAAGGAAACATGCATTAAAAAAAAGAGATTATAGGTTTTTCCCTGTATTTACAGTTATTTGGACTCTATAAACCATCTTATTTATTTTTGGAATATTTAAAAATATCTATTATCTTTTAATTTTTGGTTTTCCTATTAGCCAATTCTACCTTATAGTTATAACCTTGTGTAGAGTGGTTAACTCTAAATCTAGTAAAGACTGATCTTCAATGTCTAAATTATCATGCCCTTTATCTGTGGATTCCAACTTGATCTGTTTTGTTATATTGGTATTATACTAGATTTAGTTTGGAAAAGCAAATGAAAACATACTATAGAAGAAATACATAACAGTATAGTATTGCTTTAAAATGCTCTTTTAATAAGAATGTCTTCATTTACATACCAAATAATAACATTGATAGGACCCATAGATCAGACCTGTTAGAAATCAGAATTTTATTGGCCTCGTAGGCATAACCAAATATTTTTTATTTTAATGATTAAAAATGGAAATAGGACTCTAGAAGAAGTCACCATAGTATTGTCCATTTCCTTTTATTATTGAAACAAAAATATTGTTTACTTTTTAAATTAATTAATTTAATTAATTTAAAAAATTGTTTATTTTTTAAAATTCCAGCTAATTGTACTATATAGGACAACTTAATTACCCATTTAATCAAGAAACATCATTTCTTAAATAAAATATGGTAAACATTGTTATTAGAGGTTGATGTCTTTTGTATAATCTGAATAAGAGTTAACGCAAGTCTTTGTGTATCTCTATCTAGAGTAAATAAACTTTGGAACATGTTATAGGTCCTTTTAGCCTAATTGATTGGATTTGAAAACAGAACTTTCTATTGAAATTATACTGAATAATAAGAAAAACATGTATATATTTTTACAAAGAATGAAAGCACTTGAATCTTTTAAACATGAAAACTAGTTGAGTAAGGGATGGGGGTTCTGGGCAAGCAAATAATCCTAACCAAATAAAAAAAAACATGATTAATGAAATGAAATATCATTTATAACTTAATTCAAACCAAAATTAGCATTATTTTATCATTTAGGAATAAACCAAGAGAAATACTAAATATCAGCAACCATTAAAAAGATCTAATTATAGAAGAGTTTAAGGAACAAAAATGGGGAGGAGGAATACTGGATTGTCAGTGCAGTTGAAGATGAGTCCCGTCCAGCATCTCTGAAGGTCACATAGATGAGTTCTCAGATGAAGTGTGCACATGTGACTCTCAAAGTTCATCTTGAATATTGTAGCACAGGAACAGGTTAGAGGAACCTGGACACAGTCTTTTTCCTCCAGTGAATGGAGTGTTTGATGTGGTGTTCCTTCTTTCAGCTGATGAAATCACCTGGTTTTCCTTATCCTTCAAGGACGGTTCTGTAAATAATTCTGAATTGATTGATTGATTGATTATATTTAAAAGTCTTTGTTCTTCTAAGTCAATTAATACTTAAGAAAACATTTTTTGTTGTAAACAGAAAATCAAGCATTAATTTTACCTCAGGGTATTTAATTTTGACCTTAAAATTTTAATGACCTTTATATTATAATAAACTCAGTTATAACCATCTCTACTTTCTTTAAGTGTAACTCTTTTCAGGCTTTGTAGAACATACTTTAATCTTTTAACATTATTTTCATCCATTCCCATTTTGGAACAATCTTTATCTTATCATACAAAGTCTATTTTAATTCATAAGTTCTTTCTCTGGTCTTTTTGAGACAGGGTTTCCCTGTAGCCTGAGCTGGCCTGGAGCTCACTGTGTAGACCAGGCTGGCCTGGATCTCTCAGAGACCCCCCTGCCTCTGCCTCCCGAGT